CTTAAAATATACTCCTGAACATTTTACAATCAGCTTTCAACTAGATCGATGTCGTGGATTTCTTGAAGGAAGGAGACAAAGCACATATAACAAAGTGGAGTGACTTGTGCTCCAGCTCAGAGAAGATTGTGTCACACGAAGGATAAACTGTCTATTAATATTTCACTTGAAGATATCGTAAGAAAGAAAAAACATTATCCAATAAACTTCTCTGAAAATTCTGTACATTTAGTGAATAGTGTCCAGAATAAAGAGGTTATTAATAGTAGTTTGTTAGTTAGTTACCTACTCACTTACTCACTTACCTACTGACATACTTTTCCGATCCAATTATGTTTTTAATAAAAAATCACGTGCACTACTTAACGCAGCTTTAATAGTAGTATAATCGTAGGAGGAATAAATTTCCTCTGAGGCAGAGAGGATAAATATTTATATATATATCAGGTGACATTTATTTTCTTTGAATGTGAATGAACAGCAAAAACTGAAACGGGACAGAAACAGTGAAACTGTGACAATGATTTATTTGAAAATAAAAAAACTGTTCATTTTTATGAATTTCCCTGCCTTCAAAATATCATGTTTGTCATAAACACCTCTTGTTCAGTATTTTTTTCTCATTTTTCATGTAACTAGAAAGGCAAAGTCGTTGGAGGGGTGGTAGTGGTGGTGTTTTTCTTTTTTTTAAAGAGACTAGTAGAAAGTTTTCTTTTGATTTCGACACGTCAACATAAATAGGTAAAGGTCATTCACAGGGAGAAGACGATGAAAAAGAATTAAACATCTTATGTGATTATCTCATTCCAGGCTAGAGAAAAAACGATATCACCCCAGATGACATTTTCGGTTCCATTTCTTGTTTGTATGTTTGTTTCAAAGGTTTTACAATCTATTTCACTGGAATCGATCGATAATCGGTTAGAATGAAAGAATAACTTCAATTCAAAATGCTGTTTATATGAATAGCACGTTGAATTGCCTTTTTAACGCATTATGTTGTCATGATAGAATTAATGATGTAACGTTTGCTGGAAAGCGTGAAATACACAAGTGGAGATGAGTCTCGGTAGTAGGACCATTGCTCACCAAGAACTCACTGACGAGCTGAAAATAGGTCAAAATGCATATCATGGACTTCACCATTAGCCACTATCAACTACTAAACAGCATCGCGTTAGACTTCTGACATCATTGAAACTTCCATAGTCCAATATGTATTGATCAATGGGAAACAGAAAATTAAATACACAACATGTGAACATGAGTACTGCTTGAGATATTGATTGACAGAAGAAGTAGTGAAGACAGGACTTCATGTGAACTAACCATAACAAGCAACGATCGCTATCAAAGATAGATATTTGAAAGATTATTATTTATTTACTATTCCCTTTAATTCCTAGAGGAAAATCGGGCTTCAGCCACGCGTCTCCATTGTGTTCGGTTCTCTGCTAGAGTTTTCACCTCGCTTCAAGTCTGCCAAAACGTTTTCATCTCTTTTTCACATGACCTCCTCCAAGTTACCCTTGTACTGACGACCAACTTGCCGCTTCCCTTTCGGATCCTACCCAAGCAATGGCTTGTCTAGTGATGTCACCTGGTGGTTTCCTCACAGTATGGCCAATCCATCTCCATTTATTCCTGCAGTTTTGTTGCACAATCGGTTCCTGGTTGGTTCGCTCATCGCCAGAGATCTCTGTTGCTGGTCTTTTCTGATCGGTCATCTGATCTTGAGTATTGAGCCAAGACAACTGTTAATGAAGGTCTGTAGTTTGTTTGAGATGCTCTTTATGACGCACAGTGCAAGTCTCTGATCCGTATAGTAGCACTGAATGACTTCACATTGAAGTTGAAAATCCGGATCTTATTATTTTGATGCTGAGTGCTGTTGACCTCCACACAGACTTGAGAGTAATGAAAGCTTGTCTTGCTTTCCCGATCCTAACCTTGATATCCTCATCAATTCTGCCTGTAGCCGAAACGATGCTTCCCAGGTAGGTAAAGGAGGTTGTTTCTTTCAGGTCCCTTCCATTTATGCTGATTGTTGTCTGTTGTCGTTGCTGTTGCTATTGGCCAGGAATCTTCATCACCTGAAGTCCTATCTTTGATGCTTCTTGTGCCAAATTGTTGCTTTTCACTTGCATATCTTCCAGTTTGTGGGCAATCAGATATATATTTGAAAGAGGTCACTTCTATTCACTTCTCTTGGCAGCATTGTTTCAACTAAAGGCAGATTGGATGAGGGTGTCAACATCAGAATTGACATGACAAAGCACACCTTCATCAATTTGAAGTCAGTTTGGAAAACTTCTTCAGAATTTCTTCGGATTTTCAACGCCAATGTTTAGTCAGTCAGTCATTCAGGAACCTGGTACGTCAGAAAAAGAATTTCCCATAGAACTCAGACTTTTATCAAAAGCCGCATTCACTGGCTCAATATTGAAGATCAGATAACCAGATAGAATTAGAAACAAGAAATTCTAGGAACGAACCAGTCAAGAATCGAATGCTCAATAAATATGCCAAATAACACGGAGATGGATATGATATATGAAATGGAAGGCCGCTGACTGACATCGCATGCCAGGAATAACCTTGAATCGAAGTCGAATGAGAAACAGCGAGTTGAGCGTTTATCTGAGGGTGAGATTGAGGTGATCGTGTAAGCAGTAGATGAAAGCATATAGGCAGTCATGGAGCCAGCTATAGATGATTGCAGAGACCTGGATGAAATGGAGATGTGTTGCTGAAGTCGTATGTCCTATTTGCAACCCATGGGAATAATAGTACTAATAAATGCCTGATTTCTGATGGATAACAGCGAGAATTTAATAAATTTAAACGAAGTTTAAGTATTTTACATTCAAAGCAATTATCTCACCATCCAAAAATGTGTGAAGAGAGGAGCATTAAATGTTGCAAATTTTGTAAAAATTCTCTTCCTTCTAAGTATTTGATATTAACATCTTTTAGAAAAAAGTCTCAGATATCACACTTTCAATTGCTTAGACTTCAACAGCGTTGCAGTATGACTGATGTCCAAGTCATTGATAGAGTATCAGACTTCCGATGTCGCATTCATCAATGAACTCAAATAACTCAATGTTAGCGCCTCTGAATGTAGGATTGCGTGGTGACTATTTGATGCTAGCTGCCGAAAGGATATCAGTTCCTCCAAGTTAATAGATGTGCCTTGCTGACAAGTCCTAGCAAGGGCAAAACATAATTTCACTGCTTCTTACCGGCTGTCACTAATTACCTACTACTAGCAACCAGTCAGTATGGAATTATCCATTCCTCAATGTTATACAGCGTACCTCTGGTGTAACTGCAGAGAACGAAAGACTTGGTGAAGGAATGTTTATTTGGAATTTGGTATCTCCAAATAGCCAAATTATATTAATTTAATTTTTTCAATTTTGATTACAGCTTGATGACACTACGTATTTTCAGTACAAGTATGGAATTTTCAGCATGCATATCGGTAGCCCAAATTTTGCGGGCCGACCATAAATATCCGGTGTGCGTTGGCAGAGGACCGAACCTCGCACCATGTGCATGGTCGGTGAGAGTCCTAACCACTGTGACACCGACGCACACCTTATCTTCAAATCACAATTTTCACGGATCTTCCATGTTGTGCTACTTCTGGCCTTCTTTCATATTGTGTTACTTTGTGTTCCTTTCACTTCTTCTATTTATCTACGCAAGGCTGCATCATGTGCTTACTCTGACATCAAATCTATCCCACCTACTATTTAATGTGTTCATGCTGATGAACTTCTCTTTACATACGTATACTACTATAAAATCTTATCAGTAGCACATGCCACACTATTTCACACCTATAAACTATTTCCATTCGAATGAATAATCCTGAAAACGTCCCTAAAAATTCATATATACTAGCTGACTCAATAATCGATATTTATTCCAAATGAATTTGTTTAACATATAGAGAGAAATAAATAGCCGGTTTACTGGAATTTCCACCATTCCAATTAGTTTGATATTAATAAAAAATTGTCACTTTTGAGGTAAAAAATTTGAATGGATTAACGTTAGACATTTTTTGACTAATAGATATTAGTGAGGGAATCGGGAAGTAGTGAAAAGCCGTTTTCGTCCTAGTTTGAGACTCTTTATCAGTAGGCACCTGTGCCTCCACTGGTGGTCGAACGTAGAACCTCATAGGTAACGAGGTGGTAACGCTACTGCTTAATCACTGATAAGGCGTCAAATGACCTGTGAATTTTAACCCTTGTCATTTCGTTATATCTATTTATCCCTACCTCCAGCCAACTACTGACTGGTGGAGCGGTGGCGATTTATATATACGAATTGGCAAGAGTTAAGTTTCGCACGCGATTTCATCCTGTCCTATTGACTGAATGTTAATATGGTCATCTGGTAACCTCAGAGTCTCTGTGTCGAACTCTCAGTGGGATCACTGGTGAGTACTTTTCAGAGGTGAAACCCAGAGACCGTAAATTCTCATAAGGTCTTCAAGAGACATCCGTCTAATAGTCATAAATGAGGTGCAGGTTGATAAATTAAGTTACGGATTTCTCAGGTAAAGATTTGGATTTATTTCAGTGATGTTAATCACTCTCAGTCTTTTCATGTCAATTACAGACATTTCAGTTTTTTCCGATTGTTTGTTTATTTTTCACAAAACCACATATCATCTATTCGAAGTAAACACTACAATCCCAATGATTAATCAACATCACAATGAGATTGATGAGTTCAATTGGCCCAATAGTATAATTACAGCAAACAAAACAAAACAAAAAAGCGCTATTATCATCCATATTTCTTTTTACTTTATCAACACGAGTGGGTAGATCGCGAATGTGATTGGTCAGTTTCTCAAGGTCAGACAGGTAGAGTGAACAGTAATACTAACATGAGATTGGCAGTTTAATTTTAATCAATATATAATACCAAGAAATGATAGACGACTGACTATTATATATCCAGGTGAAAAAATAAAGGAGACGGACAAACGGACAAACCTTATTTTTAATGTATTGTTGTTGTTAGGCAAATCACATTATGAGATGGATGATTGGATGCTCTAGTCGGTGGAAATTATATTGCTATTGCTAATATTATTGTTATTATGTGGAGAAAAAAAATTTTCTAACACAAAGGAAGAAAACACGGAAAATTTTTATTTCAATCTTTGTTTTTGGGGAAATAATGATGAAAATACGAATAATAATAATAAAAATGTCAACGAAAACAGCGACAGCTATTATTCAGCCTCCTATGAACTCATTATTTTTCACTACTACTAGTGCTGCTTCTAATACATCTGGATATACCACAGATATGCCATTCATCATAAGAGAGAATTCACTTTAAAATCTGGTAATCTCTCTCCCTATATGAAATGTACTCATCCGATCGCAGAAGAACTCACACTACAAAGCCTATATCAATCATTGTCTAAATACTAAATATTTTGTAAGAAAGAAAAAAGCAACGAAAAAAAAGAAAGTAGCAGCCTTCGACATACCTTTGTATTATTCTGAAAGAATAGAAAATCAAATGTGATTAACCTCTCCATGTAGCACGATTCTTATTGATCTCAAGTAGAAACGTGTTGTACTAAAACTATAAAAAGAAACCAAACCAAAAAAAATCGATAAAGTCATTTGGAACTTGGAGAATGTGGATAGTTTGTTGTCGTAAACAACAAGACACCGCTGATGATACTACTACAACTACTACTAAAGGGAATAAATCGAAGGATAAATCGAAACACCGTAAACAGAAATACTCACGTGGACATAATTCTGATAAAACTGACCTGGAGAACAGTAATAATAATAATAATAACAAAAATAATAATAATGAAAATAATGATACTGGCAGCAGTAATATTGATACAAAACTACGCAAAGATTCACACGACAGTTCAATTAATGGATGTTATCCTAGACAAGAGAGACGAAGTCTACCAGACGTTGTAATCCCTTCAACTCATTTAATCCCATGCTCAAATGCTTTCCCATCAAATCAAAGGCCTAGTCTACACATTGATTATGAAACTGGCCGTAGACCAACAATTATGGTGGAGACTACAGCAAAATTAGCGGAATCTGAATCCACTGGTCTTGATGATCACTACTCATCTAGTCTTTTTAATAAAACTTTTCTAACCAATGATTTAAAGGCGAAAAACGAAGCAACAGACAGTGTATTAAACAAGCGTAGAGCACACAGCCTTATTCCAACATATTGTGAAAAAGACCTCCAGGAAACTGGTAATATACGTCAATCAAGAAAGTCAGAAGTTGTACGAAGTGTAGATGATGGAAAGAAAACTCCATTCAAGAAACGTCTTAGTCTATTAAAAGTCAAGCCATTGAAACGTTTCCGTAAATCAAAAGAAAACATTCTCTCAGTGGATGTACAAAAGCCATACATAGAAGAGGGTAAAACAAACCTGCTGTTAACAACAACTCCCGATACACGATTTGTATTTAAAGCGAAATCCTCATTCCGACGTATTAAACACTCAAGGTTATTTTCCCCGGCTAAATCATCCCATGAGAATATATTAATCTCTAAGGATGCTAATACTACTTCTATGAATAATACTACTAATAATAATAATGAGAGTTTTTCTGAACGATCAGAGGATAGTTTAGGTCAGCTGCCTACACCAAGAAATTCAATGTTAAAACGTATCAGTCCACGTGGTACTGATGCTTATACAGATCCTAGAAAGCGTAATTTTCTTGATAATATTCAGCATAACCCGAATTCAAGAAATGCTGTACTAAGACGTGGTTCTCTTTGTATTTTTAGTCAGGTCGATGAACCGATTGTAACACCATTTGCACAAATTTTGGCTAGTTTAAGAAAAGTTCGCACAAATTTTATCCTGTTAACAAATGTAACAAGTACTCGAGAGTAAGTCACATAGTGTTTTGCTCTTTATTTTGTAATAAATTTTAATGTGTATTTATCCTCATTATTTTTGTCAATCACTGTTTTCCCACTCTTGAGGGAATACCTGCAGTGTCTAGTTTTCTAAATGACTTTTTCTTATATATGCCATTTTGGTCGAAAACAGAAACTCAGTGGTTTTTAAAAAAAGAATATTTTCTGCTCTTTCCCTTATGCACATGTCGGTTTCTTCACAAACAGGTGGGCTTGCAGGAATTTAACTGCTTTATAAAATTGTTCACGAACTAACATCATTTAAATAACCCCTGAAAACTACAGAGTACTGGGTAACTGTTTCGCCCTTGTTTGGGGCTCTTCAACAGCTCGCACCTATGAATCTCCTCCCCTACCAGAGGCAGAACCTTGAACCTTCAGGTTAAAAGGCAAGCCACTTCCAACTAGGGATATCTATCTAGCGCAACGGCCAGTCAGTATCATTAGTGAGTATCTGTTCCAACAGGAATCTTGGTGGACTTTCCTCAGGTAACAACTTTCCATTAGAATATTTTTTGATAAATTTTTCTTTTCAAGCGAACAAGATTTCAATGTGTAAAATCATTGTGCATTTGACTCCCATGATCCTGAATTTTGGGTGTAGTTCTGTGTGTGACTTCACAGTGAAGTAAGCAGTGAAGATGGTGTCTAGAAAGACAGTGGAAGCAGCTCGGTTATATGTGATGAGCAGGGTATTGATTATTTTCTTCTTAAAAGAATTCACTATCAGTCATTATCAACCAAAAGACATCATATTCACATCAGGAGGACATCTTTGAAACGTCTGCACTACCAGCCGCCATCTCAACCAAGCACTTCCATTGAATAGAATTCAGTCAGTCACAAGGAATACTCGAAATAATGCTATATATTAATGGTGATTAATTGAATTTTAGATTTCCCCATCGATTGATTGGACCTAAGTGCTCGGTCTCAGGTTACCATTGTCTGTTGGCTTCTTCTGCAGATGCTTCGACGATGTCTGGGCATTTAATTGGTGAATGGTGGTGACTAGCAGTGGAATCCAGGACGCGCATTTCGTCCTATTTAGGACTCGTCATCCGGGTGTACCTGCATTTTTCAGTGATGGGAACATCATTACTCACTGAGAAATGCAGGTACATCCATTTGACGAGTCCCAAATAGGACGAAGTATGCGTTATACTGGATTCCACTGCTAGTCACCATCCACCAATCTAAATATTAATGGTGTGTCTGAAAAAATGATCCTTAGGAATTATGCGACTCAAGAAATACATTTCTGGTCAAACATTAGAATAGCTCTATTTGATTCATGAAATGGACACATCTTTTACAGAGTTTTTAGTTCATTTATAAATTATAAAACAATGTTTGACCTAAAACTGTATTGAATCACAAAGTCGACAATATTTTAGATCAGTATTTGTTTTTATCCCAAAGATTGAGGTTGGCTTATTCAATAGGCAAATCTATCCTAATGGATTGTCTTTAATGGATGCATGGATGGATGAAACACTAGGGTTTAACTTCCGCTAAGTAATTCAAAATATGAATGAATGTATAAATTAGAAATAGCTAAACAAAAATAGCAAAGAAATGAAACAAATTGGTTTAAAAATCCCAGTATTCATTGACATGATAGTAAAAGTGATTGTAAAAGTTTCATTTGTAGGCGAAGCGTCAGTTTCTGCATCTGGATGGCTAGTGGTTGAACAATCCAGAGGAGGCGAAAGCCTACTGCTTTTCACTTTTGAGATCATCATAAAGTAGGAATTTGCTGAGATCCATTGGTCAGTGTAAGTAAGGTGCCCAGTTATTGCCCACCTTACGGAGCTCATCTATGCTAATTTAACGTTGTTCAATGAACGAAATATTCCCATTTTGAGTCATAAGAAAAAGGCATAAAAACAGCGAAGAAAATTTTCTTTTCGACGATTCATTTTCATGAGCTGTACAATCGTAATTATTAATTAACAAAGAAATCTTTAGACCAATCAGATACTGGTAAATTTTGTCCTTGGAAAATTGTATTACATTATGTAAGGTGTAAGAAGGGATGACTAATTGTAAGTTAGAAAGGAGACAGAAGTTGGCATGACGTAATAAGTGTGAGATAGTGAATAATCAATAATCTCGTGTAAAAGTTCCTGTCCATTTTACACGAGATTATTGATTATTCACTATCTCACACTTATTACGTCATGCCAACTTCTGTCTCCTTTCTAACTTACAATTAGTCATCCCTTCTTACACCTTACATAATGTAATACAATTTTCCAAGGACAAAATTTACCAGTATCTGATTGGTCTAAAGATTTCTTTGTTAATTAATAATTACGATTGTACAGCTCATGAAAATGAATCGTCGAAAAGAAAATTTTCTTCACTGTTTGTGCCTTTTTCTTATAATTTAACATTACTGAACACTTTTAGACATGATACGCATCGGAAGATTGATATACTTGACTCCACGGGAGTTGATGAACTGATATGCGCACAAACTAGTAGCTAGACCATTGACCATCTGGAGCACACTACTTTAAGCGTTGTTACGAAGGATGTTCTCCTCAAAGATGGTGAAATTCTTCTCTTAAAGATGTCGCATGTTAGGTCACCCACGATTCTTTCAGAATGTCTAATTCTTCTTGTAGAGCATCAGAGTTGTAGATACATCCGATATCATTAAGTCTCGTTTTTATTCAAGCAGCACACAACTGTAGAAATTCATCAGCTGTCCGTACGATACAACTTTCTTAGGGACAGACTTTTTTAAGGTGATGTCGGCTCTTCTTGTTTTTTCAACTTATAAAAAAGTGAATTTCAGATCCGTTTTCCATTTCAAGCGTGAATTTTATTTCTGTAGGATCTAGTATCATTCACATTTCATGCATACAAATGAAAAATATCAATATTTCAATTGAAGCATAACACATGTGTAAGCTATCACAATAACATACATATGTATACCATATGTAGGTATTTTCCTAGTGAATACCAACTTTTAAAATTTCTAAAATGAAAATATAATTAGAAATGTGTGAAACAATTTTTTTTAAATACCAGTAATGAAACAAAAGAAAAAGAGAAGAATATAATTACAGTTTGCTGTTGACTATAAGTGGTGTTTTCAATTTCACATCTGTTTCATGAGATGAAAATGTAACTGACTGACTGACTGACTGAGTGAGGTTTAAACGTAGAACTTTGCACTTTTCACACTTCATAAAAGTACACATATAACGGTAGAGAGAACAATCAAAAGGAAATATAACGTGAAAGCGAATGTAAGGCTGAAAACATAATGAATCGCAGAGTTCACAGTTGAATGAATGCAGCTGTGTCAGTGAGAACAACTTTTAGGCATTTTTTTATTTCTTTACGTTCCCAGTGATGGAACATAAGGCACTTTTAAGCTAGAGGCTTGAAGTTTCGGTAGTGGTGGTGTTTTTTAATACAGGATGGGGTCGCTTCTCCCTTTACCAGCCTTATTACTGGCTTAGCGAAGTAAAGGAGTGCGTCGGTGGCCGGGGATCGAACCCCGGATCACACATACGTGGTTGGCTAGCATTCTACCGCCGTGCCATCAGCATGCACCAGCATTTTACAGCCATCGGTTCTTAACGTCTTCATGGAACCCAGCAAAGGCAGTCTACACGTGCCTTGAGTGAGGCAAACCAAGAGTCGAAGACTCCATAGACTGATACTGACTCAGTTGTAGGGTTACTGTTTGATAATCGGAAATACTGTTTCATACGTTTCCTCCTGTTCATATTGTTTTGATGGTCTTCATGCGTAACTGGAGGAAAAAAACCAGAAAAGGGAAGAATTAATTTTTATTTGAGTAACCATGAACCTTACACACTGATACCAAAACTCGTTAACAGTAATAATATCATCCTTATCTGTAGTTGTCATTGAATTCTCCTTAGTGTCATCACTTTCTTCTAACGTTCCTTCTTCATTGATTATCCTAGTGCTCATTAATTCCCTGAAGACGACATTCTATTTATTAGTAACATTCACTTATTAACTATAAACTGAGGAAATTTAGAAAGATATATAAGATTATAAACAGTTTTCTTGTAGGAAGGGGTTCACAGGTAGAATAATTGCCAGTCACGCATGTCGTCCGGGATTCAGCCCTATCTTCCGCGACTGGAGCACTATTTAACCTCACTAAGACAGTAGTTAGCCCGATAAAGCAGGAAGGTTTGAGTTAGAGTCTGTAAAAAAACGAAATTCACTGGAACATAAATTTATGGCCTCAAGCCTTGTATTCTAGTCGAAACAGGAGTGAATAAAATAACAATAAATAATAAAATAGTGTGCGTCGGTGGCACAGAGGCAGAATGCTCACCGACCACGCATGTGATTCGGGGTTCGGTGCCCGGCCACCGACGCACTCCTTTACCTCACTAAGCCAGTAATAAGGCTGGTAAAGGGGGAAGGTTGGTCATGAGGATATCAACCCTATCCTGTGAAAATAAACACCACTGATACTGAAACTTCAAGCCTCTAGCTTGAAGGTGCCCTATGTTCCAGCACCGGGGACGTAAAGGAATAATTTTTATAAAATAAATAAACTTGTGCTAATAAGGGCTTTTCATACCCATGAAACTAAATTAGATGGGAATATTCTATTCTAATTAGCCTTTTGTTTTATAAGCTTCCCTAAGAGAGTTTGTTTGGCGTGGTCGAACCAAAAACAAAACATCCCATCAATCCATGAATTGTCTGACTTCTGTTTCGAGTCATGTGGAATCGTATAAAATGTCTGCCTGGAATCCTTGAGACTCTCTAATTCAGTGTCGGTGGAATATTTGTGTTATGGCAGAAATTTATTCTCAACAGATCAGATACATTCACTTTTTTATCTTTCATTATTCTCCTTGCAATTATACTTTCTTCCCCTGACATCTTCCGATATAGTTTCGTCGCATTCCTGGCTTCCTCTCTACTTTTATGTGAAGTTTTACAGAGTGTAACGG